CTTTTGGGTTAGCATAAGAGTTTCCAGAATGTGATGTATATTTTATATCATGTGAGTGTCCAAACTTGAATTGCTTATTCATAGGTTTGTAAGTGAAGGTCATTTTAGCAACAGGTTTTGGAATGTATGTCTCCTTCCCTTTGGGAGGTTCATATCCAATTCCTCTTCTGTTTTTCCCACTAACTCCATAGATTATTGAAGCCATTTTCCTTTTGTCTATGCTTTTAGCAAGAAAAGTTTGAAAGCTATAGTCATATTCTTTCAGAATATCTTTTGAACTAGATACAGACTCTGAACTAAAATTCTTTTGAACAATTTGAATTTCCTTTTCAAGTTTAAGATTGTTTTCTAAAATTTCAGATTTTTCTGTTTTAAGTTTCTTAAAATCAGATGCAAGACTCTTCTTGAGTTTCTTGTATTTGATTTTGAGCTTACTATAGTTTTCCAGAAGTTCTGATAAACTATCAGCAAGTTCTTCTCTAGAAAATTCAGAAAATACCTCTCTTTGTTCTGACTCACAGTCTGAGTCATCTTCTGTGATAGCCATTAAATCTAGGTTGGCATTTTCATCTTCAGAACCAGATTCATCTTCAGACGAATCTGAGTCATCCCAGGTTGCCATCATTCCTTTCTTCTTTCCAAATCTCTTCTTTGGTCTTTCTTTTTGAAGCTTTGGACAATCACTTTTGAAGTGACCAGGTTCTTTGCATTCATAACAGATGATCTCTCTTCTGTTTGACTTTTTGTGTCCAGAAGATTCTGGTTTATCTTCTGACTTCTTGAAGTTCCTGAACTTCTTTTGTCTGTGTTTCCACAGATGATTGATCCTTTTGGAGAGTAAAGATAGTTCGTCTTCTTCTGAAGCTGATTCTTCAGAGTTTTCTTCTTCAGCCTGAAAAGCGTTAATATCAAATTTCTTAATTGATTTAAGGGCTAGAGACTTACCTTTCTTCTGAGGCTCATGCTCATCCAGTTCAATCTCATGACTTCTGAGAGCGCTGATGAGTTCCTCAAGAGACACATTGTTCAGATCCTTTGACACCTTGAAAGCAGTGACCATTGGTGCTCATCTTCTGGGTAAGCTTATGATGATCTTTTTCACGTGATCTGCTTTGGTATACCCTTTGTTCAAAACTCTCAGACCAGCGATCAGAGTTTGAAACCTAGAGAACATTGCTTATATAGACTCACTTTCCTCAACTTTGAAGGCTTCATACTTCTGAACTAAAGCCAGAGCTTTAGACTCCTTAACTTGGGCGTTTCCTTCATGAGTCATTTTGAGAGACTCAAACATATCATGCGATGTATCTCTATTAGTGATTTTTCATATTCTACTTTAGAGATAGCATTTAAAAAAATATTTCTAGCTTTGTGATGATTTTTAAAATCAGCTTTTTGTTGTCTATCCATATTTTTTCTATCCACTTTGTTTCCTTTTGAATCTGTAGGATGTTTGTAACCATCCAAGACTATATCCCAAAGATCACTATCATGACCTAGAAAGAAACTTTCCAGTCTATCTTTCCAGTACTCAAAATCTTCTCCATCAAACACTGGAGGTTTGTTATAACTATTATTGTTTTGTTCACCGGCCATTGTGTTTTCTTCTGGATCTTTTCCTGACACAGTTAAGTGTTGAGCTCAGAGTCAAGCTCTGATACCAATTGAAGGAGTAAGAAAACACTTAGAAGGAGGGGTTGAATAAGTGACTCTTTTCGATCTTTCAAAACAAAGCTCAAAACAATAATGGAATAACACAGTTATTTTTATCCTGGTTCGTTTGAACTCAAACTACTCCAGTCCACCCGCCAAGGTGATTTCTCCTTTCTCAACAAGGACTTAATCCACTATAATCAACTGATTACAATCACACAATAACTATTGTGACTAACAATGCACAAGTAAACTTACAAGTGACTAACACCACTAAGACTTAAATCTAGTCCTAGTCTGCTTGAGAAATCTGACCAAACTTGGTCTCTCAAGGAACAAATACAGAAGTATAATCTTTACAGATAATTGAAATAGAGTTTGCTTCTAATCAAGATATATCACAACTGTGATTTTTCTTAGAATGTTATACACAAAAATGTATGAACTATGAGTTTGTAAGCTTTTGAATCTTTCACGTAGTTTCTTGTTTGAACGTTTTTTTTGGCTTGCAATAAATGTCCTTCTATTTATAGTAGGAGTAATAAGACCGTTGCTATCTTCAGAGGAAATGGAGAGCATTAAATGCTTTGCGTGTATCCTTGCAAAATTCCATTCTCCAAGAAACAAGTTGTAGGCACTTGAGTGCTTTCATCCGTCTTTGCATTAATTAGCAAACGTCAGAATGTAAGAACATGTTTCCTTTGCTTTGACAAGACACATTGATTAAGACGTTGTTGATTTAACTCAGAACATGCTTCATTCAATTTCTGGTCAGAGCATTGTTTGCAAAGATCTTTGAACAGCGCTTGCTTTCAAGTTATCTTCAGAATCAAGAAGCCTGCTAGAAGTTAGAAGATACATTTAACAAATGAATGTTCTTACCGGAGTCAACAGAAGCGTTTGAATAAGAGGTTCTTTTATCAAAGAACTTCTTCATAATCTTTGCTTAGCACTTTGGAATGTTTCTTGTCAGAACATTTACTAAGACATTCAAAACACATTCATTAGAGCATAAATTATCTTAAATATAATTTGGTTATCATCAAAACACTTGGGATAGGTCAGAACTAATCTTGTTCTTTCAGTAGCAAGAGGCTTTCTACAGAAGCCTGGGCTGGATTACTTTGAAGTGTTTGCACCTGTAGCGAGACATGAAACAATCAGACTAGTGATTGCAATAACTGCTAACATGAATTGGCCTCTGATGCATTTATATGTAAAATCTACATTTCTGAATGGTCCATTACAAGAAGAGGTGTACTTTTCACAACCTCCTGGATTTGAGAAAAAGAATCAGGAATGGATGGTGTTCAAATTAAGCAAAGCCTTGTATAGATTGAAGCAAGCACCCAGAGCTTGGAATTTGAAGATTGATTCGCTTTTCAAGGAACAACAGTTTCAGAAGTGTGAAATGGAGTATGGTGTTTATGTTCATCACACTTCATAAGGTAATATGATTATGGTATGTTTGTATGTTGATGACATATTACTCACAAGAAGTTCTGAACAAGAGATAAATGAGTTTAAGAAGGTTCTGATGAATGCGTTTGAGATGACAGATCTTGGGAAAATGAGTTTCTTTCTAGGGATGGAGTTTATGTATTCTGAAAAAGGAATCATTTTGCATCCGATAAAGTATGAACTAGAGTTTTTGAAGAGATTTAAGCTAGAAAATTCCAAAGTTTCTATCACACCTGCTGATACGAATCAAAAGTTGGACTCTGATTCTGATGGAGAGGATGTGGATGCTACAACCTTTAAACAGTTGGTTGGTTCTCTGAGGTATTTGTGTAATACCATACCTGATATTTGCTATGCAGTTGGAATGGTTAACATATTTATGAGTAAACCAAAGTGGTCTCATTACCAAGCTGATGTCAGGATTCTGAGAGAAGAAAGATCGAATCAGAACTTCTGAGTTATTTTGATTCTGATTGGTACGAAGATAAAGTTGACAGAAGAAGTACTTCTGGGTACTTATTCAAATTTTTGAGAGGACCTATTTCTTGGTGTTCCAAGAAACAACCTATTGTTGCGCTGTCAAGTTGTGAAGCTGAATATATTGCAGGCGCTCAGACTACGTGTCAAGTTGTGTGGATTCTGAACTTGCTGAAAGATCTGAAGATTGAGGTAAATAAACCTCTGAAGCTGATGATTGATAACAAGTTTGCAATCAATCTTGTTAAGAATCCAGTGTTGCATGGGAGAAGCAAGCATATTGAGACTAAGTATCATTTTCTGAGAAATCAAGTTTAGAATGGAATATTAGAAGTTGTGCACTATAGCACCCAGAAGCAGCTGACAGATGTTCTGACAAAGGCTACCAAAACTGATCAATTTCTTGGTTTAAGGGATGTAATTGGTGTTGTTAGTTTTGGATAAATATAAATTAAGGGATGGTGTTAGAATTAATTTAGATTTTATAATTAATTAGATATTAATTTATATTTAGGAATATCTTTTAGATTGTTTATATCTTTGTTAAAAGATATATATCTTAGATCCTCTTATATCTTATTAGAAGATATATTTTAGATTTAATTTTGTGTACAAAAAGGCTAGTGGAATAGATTTTTGTAATTCATTGTTAATCCTTATTTTGAAACTGTCAGTAAATATTTTTTTTACCTTTTATTTTCATTTTTCTTGTGCACCAACATATAAAATTTATTCCATTTGTACACTAATAGGATAAGCATTCTTTTTTAAAATCTTTATATTAAATTGAATGCATCATCTTTTAAAAAATATCCATTTGTAAGTTGGAAAGGACCGCCTTTTATAAACATTTTATATGTTTTTTTTGTAGGAGCATTTTGTATATTTTATCTCTTTTAAAATTTAAGACATAAAGGTTTTTAAATATCACCCCTTATTTTATTTCTTAAAAAATATTGAATTTCAGCTGCACCAAAATATTACACTTACACATACTTTATCCATACACATTTAGATAAGCCAAAGTATTGAATTTCAGCTGCACCAAAATATGTCATTATCTGGTGGTTTTCATTGTATAATAGTGCAAGTTGCTTGGTCCTACAACTACAAGTAAAGTCCAAATACAAGGATCATGTGACTCAAAGATTCTAATAGAGACACTTCCTATTTCTATTCACATAAAACAACAAAATATAAAAAAATAACCCCCACAAAAACCAAAACCATGTGCTTTTTTTCCCACCAACACACACTCTCCACATAGCCTCTAGTTTTCCTTCTTCCTAAACTAAAATTCGTTTTTCACTATATATTCACAACAACCGGAGTTTAATTTCTACTATCACTACTTCGTTTAGAATTAATCATCAAACTCATATCAAATTACTTCTTAACAACGTAACACAATGAGTTCGAAAAACCGTGCTTGGAGATGGAGTGAGGAAACAAGTGTTGGAGTAGTGGAAGGGTTGAAGGATCAAGGAATATGTAGATGGAACAGTGTGATAAGATCAGTACAACAACATGCTACACATAATATCAAATCTTTGTCTCATGCCAGCAACAAATTTTCTTCTTCTTCGTCTTCTGTACCTAAAACGAGGGAAGAGAAAGCCAAACATTCAGAAGAATCTTTAAGAACCGTCATGTTCTTGAGCTGCTGGGGTCCCAACTAAACATATTAGTATATATGATTCAATTTTTGGTTTGATAGAAATTTGTGTATATGTAGGATTTATTATAGTATATAATGATGACAACTGTGGGGAATTATGATCACAAGCTTTCACAACCTTTTTTTGATTCTTTATAATTCAACAAACTAGTAAGAAGAAAATCATAACAATTAAAAGTTTTGTAAAAAAAGAAATATAAAAGATGGTATATAGTTGAATAAACTCCTAAAATCATACATGTGTTTTTTTTAACCAATTTTTTTTTATTTTTCATTAAATATTTCCCTTATATGTTGGATGTTTTTAGTTTGATGATAACATGAATAAGGTAAGACAAAAGCTCATAAAGTATTATAAATTTAGCTACTAATTACCATAGTGACACGTGGGCTGAGTTATAAAATGATAGGTTACAAAATGTATGAGGTCGGCTATTATCAAGTGTGGGTTGGAGATATATTGTTAGTTTTTTTTAAAAATATTTTGTGAGTTACAATTCATTAGTGTAATTTTTTGGATTTTTTTTTTTAATATTTTGTGAGTTACAATTTATTAATTTTTTGGATGATGCTTATATTTGAAATTGTGATCAATATTAATAATGAGGTGTTGGATATTTAATACTTATTTATGTATAGAGATGACAAAATAGATTGAGTCTGTCAAACCAATTCGTGTGATCTAATATTTTTTGACATGTCGGGTCAAAATTTTCATCAATCTAATGTCTTAAATTGTCCTGTCTCGCTAAACTTTATTTAAAATAGGGTGGATTTTGTCTACGACTTTCATGTTGAGACTTTTTTATTTAAAATAATAAACTAGATAGTGCATTGAGGAGCTTTTATATAGTTTTCTTTTATTGATAAACGTACTAGAAAATATAAGATGGAAAACACTACTTTTCACTAGACTCGCCCTCTATGCATTTGCAAATAGATTCTAACTGTTTACAGTGATTTCTGGTAAACAACCGCTAGTCCTCCAAACTATCGAATAAACTTACTGACTGTTATTCAATTTCTCTGGTAACTCGTAGGATCGACTAGATTGATCCTAGGACGTGTTGGTCATTAGGGTAACTCTCATGATCGAACAGGTATTCATGGTTGGTATTTAGAATGTTATGTAGGTGTTTGACTTATTTCGATTTCTCTCTTAAAGATCTAAAGGTGTAATCAAAATATATGTGCGCGAAACTAAATTGCATGAATAAAAGTTAATTGTAAAGACATGTAAAAACTGCATAAAAGACAAGTAAATTACTTTGAAACGTAAAACAAAACAGTTAATGTAAAAGATTCGAAATATGAAGAAAGCGTTTAATGCAAGAAATCTGTAAAATGACTTTAAGTAAAAAAGGTGTTCGAGGGATAAAAACTTGAAGATAAAGGCATGGAATGTATAACAATTTCTGAAATGTAAAGTATTTGAAATGGAAAGAAAGCATTTAAATGTAAGGCATCAGTGAAAAGATTTCGAATAAAAAGACTTTAGATGCAAAAACTTGTAAATGGTATTGATATAAAGATAAGGAAAGTACTGGAAATGATAAAGGGTTTTCATTAAATCATAAACATGTGGTGCTATCATACGTACATTGCTCTTGCATTCGTTTCCCTAGCCATGTGGTAATTTGAATGTTTACTGAGTTTTTTGTACAAATAGATATGACACACCAAATCCTAATGCTAAGACTTCTATTTATACTATTTCGATCATAACGGTCTTACTATAAGATTCTGCCACATTCAGAACACGCAGAGCAATGCCTCTCTCTTGCTTCCACGTGTCTTCGAATGCTCCAGCGCATATATTTCAAATTTCGAACATCCCGCTTGTATTTGAATTTCAAATGTTTTGGCACTTCTTCGCTTCGAACGCACTTCTTAGACACAGCCTTGTTGTCATTTCGAGACTTCTTTGGATATATTCTCATAATTGTCACTCGAAGCTCCAAGCTTTGACATGCCCATTCGAAGCACTGCTTCTATCATGACGTTTTGTTTCATTTCAATTGAAACGTTCCATTTACTTTGCTTCTAATAATACTATCAAAATCTTCAGCCAACAAAATGCCCCTTTAAAATATGTATTTCGATTGCTTTGAGAAATACTTATTTTAAACATATACACAAGATTTTGATGCGACCTTCGAATCATCGTAACATTTATTGCATTTGACTCCAGTCACGTCAATCATAACACTTTTTAGATTCCTTAACCGCCTTGAACCACTTCACAGTATGGTGCAGTTACAAAATAATGATTATCTTTAATCACGCCTATTACCAATGTTAACTTTACGCCACCTCTTCATCAAACCAACCCATGATTACCACGTATCACAACCTTACTCAGTGGATGCTTAAACTTCCACATTATAAAAACCCATCAACTTAGTCTTTTTTCTTTTCTTTCCACATTCTGAATCTTTTCTCCTTCTTTTCTCACCGAAAACCCTAAGCTTTCAACATTCTTCCAACAATGTCTTCTTCTACTTCATCCCAACTAAAAAAGGTTTCCAAAAAGAAAGGAAAGACCGTAGGAACTACCATGGAAAGCAAGGTTGTCACTCACCAAGGTCAATCTGTCCTTGTCCCCCAGATGATCTCAAAGGAGAAAGAAATACTTTATGCATCCCAGGTACTTATTCCTACCACCGCTGCTGGTAAGAGGTTAGCTTTAATGGGCCCTCTTACAGTTTTTGAAATTTTAAAAGACACCAGGAAAATTTTCCCAGTTTGCTATAATTTCAAACCCCTGTTTAATAAAATGGACGCCCCTAAGGCAATAGAATCTTCTGGCTCAAACACCATGGAAAATCCAATTGTTCCTCCTAAGGACCCTTTTGTATTGGACTATGTAAAGAGTAACTCCAAACCGTTTCGATCTTGCCCCACCTCCGACACTGCTTATCAAAACTGGTTCAATAAGGTAGAAGCTAAGAAATCCCAGCAATGGGAAGAATTAGGTATCTACAACTTGATTAAGCTGTCGAAGCCAGGTTTTACTTACAGCCACCCATTGTTATTCGCGTCCCTATATTTCTGGGACAGTACTTATAATACTTTCCATCTCCCTGGTGGAATGATTACCCCTACCTTCTTTGACATAGCGCCATCACTGGGCTATCACCAGTAGGAGAAACATATATCCCTGACAACGAAGAACATTTGAGTATAATCGACTTCGAAGTCAAACTAGCAAGTTTTTCAAAGTTTATCAGCCACTACCATGCTGAAGGAGACAGTGTGTCTGATGTAGAACACATTGCTTTCCTTACCCTATGGCTGTCAAGATATGTCTTTTGCAGTAGATCCCTTCAGGTAGCCAGTAGGTTTATTCCTCTAGCTAGAGATTTGCACGAGAATCGAAGAGTGTGCTTGAGCGAATTGCTACTAGTTGATCTTTATGAAAGCCTAAGGTCAGCTATTTCGAGCCTAAAATCTCACACCTCCAAGAATATCTTACTAGCTGGCCCTTTCTGGTTGCTTCAGTTGTGGCTAAATGCCATGTTCGAACCTTCATTGTCAACGGCCAACACCATTGCTGAACAAGACCCTGAAATAATGGATAGAATGATCGAAGGCACTAGGCTGCGAAGACTAACCCCAAATGATGATAAGGATGACTTCAAAGTCCTATTCTCCAAATACATCATGATATTCTCTAAGAGGCATACGTTCGAAGAGACCATGGCGCCTTTTGCTTCAAGGGCTCATGGACCTTCATGGTTTACCATGGCTCTCTCAGAAGCTGTCAAGAGCAAAGAGATTCAAGATGTATGGAGAGCCTTTTTGCTACCCAGACTAATCTCTTCAAGAATAACTCCTGCCAAGAATCAGATTTTCCTTTTCGCTTACCAGCCAAATTTTGTTTCGAGACAGTTTGGCTTATGCCAACTAATTCCTGAACCCTTATTTCAAACTGAGAGTGCCATTACCTCTGGGCGAACCTTCAAGGCACGGGAAGCCAAGCTACAGCAAGAACAATACCAAGGCTTTGCCCAGTTTGAGCTAATAACTTTCGAACCTACCCATCTTACAGCAAAGGGGTTTCTGGAATGGTGGACAAAGTTTTATCAGACTTATATGTTCGATACTCTTACTATTCAGCAGAAACTAACTGATGCCTTCGATGTGCAGGTACCATCCAAGAAAGGTATGTTCACTCATGCCAAAGAGATTAAAGCTTTTCAAAATTATTTCGAAACTACTTATGACCCCACACACTTGGAATCCACTGTGCATCAAGCGGCTGAGACCTTGAAGGAAAAATTCAAACAAAAAGTTTATAAGTTAAAACTTCCTTCAGGGTTGTCACCTGAGGATAGGTATAGGTTGGCATTCGAAATGCATCCACCTAAATTTCCTAGATTACCTACCTCAGAACTGGCTCTGGCTTGGTTTCCTCCATACCCTTGGTGGTTCACTTGCAAAGAAATGTTCAAACATCTTCAAAAGAAACCAAAGCCATCTGAGACTGTGACATGGGCTCGACACTGGCTCCACGATTTCCCAGGACATCTTCGCTATGACCTTTCTGCCATGTCGATTAAATCTGATCAAGGCACAGGTGCGAATGCTTGGGAAAATCCCAAACGTTTTTCATTTTCCATATCTTTAACTTTTGCCTTAATTGTTTCGATTTTCAGCCATCAGGATAAAGACAGCTGCCTCAAAGTCGAAAGAAGGAAGCGCCTCTCAAGCCTCTATCGAAACCACTGACAATGTAACTCCATCCGAAACAACAACCATTGCTGCAACAACAACAACAACAATACCAACAACAACCAGTGTTCCAACTCCACAGGTAATTATTTAGCCTTGATGTTTCGAATTCACTAATGTTTCATGATTTGCATCTAACTCTTTGCTTAAATCTTTTCAGACCAACAAACTTCCGCCTACCACTCCAAAGAAGCGAAAATCAAACACCACTGGGGAAGACCCCAAGGCTGGAGGAAACTTACCAGCTGCTTCGAAGAAAAAGCAGAA